TTGAGACTGTGCCTTGCTATGCAGTTCAGACTGGCTCTGAGCTCACTTTGTAGCCCAGGTTGGTCTCAAACTTGCAACGATCCTCCTGCCTCTATCTCCTGAGTACTGGGATTACAGGTGTGAGCCACCATGCCAGGCTTGTGCCTTCTTTGGCTTAGCATGTTTTATGATTCCTCCATACTGCTGACTGTCCCTAAAATCCCTTTTATTGTGGAGGACACATCCAAAACTTCCTCATTCTTACAGACCTGGGATGTTCTTCATTTGGCAGTAGTATAAATAAAGTTGCCATCATTAGCCACGTTTAAATCTTTTTGTGTATTTATTTTTCATGTCCCTCTGTAAATAACAAACAGTGCCTCTAATGGTCGCCTTCCCATTGCTGGACAGGACAACATACACCTGGAACTTAAAGGAGGAGAGGGTTAACTTGGCTCACGGTTTCGGAGGGTGCGGGCACAGTTGACTGGCTCTGAAACAGGAACAGCATGACAGAGAGTCTGGTGGTGCAAAATACTTAGTTCATGATGAGCTGGAAGCAGACTAACGGGAAAGCACCAGAGAGAAAGGAGCCGGGGATTAGACAGCTTCCGTGGCCCACCCAGACACATTTACAAGTGTGCATTACTCATCTGTTAAGCCAATAAAATTGACAGTTCAGTTTAGCAGTCACAGTAGGATTCCTGGGTCATAGTACAGTTATATATTTAATTCTTAAAACACTTTTTGGTCAAATCAGCCCGCCATTTTCCCTCCCACCAACAACAGACAAACATTTCCATGTTTCCTATCTATGCCAACACTGTTTATTGTCAACATTTTGAATTGTAGTCATTCTACTGGGTGTACTGTTGCACATTTGTGTCTGTATTTTTTAATACCTTCATGGATAATGCTCACAAGCAACTGTATTTGTTAGCTATTGCTGCGTAACAAATAAGCCTAAACTTAGTTGCTTAAAATGACATTATGCACTAGAACCTGTTCAGGTCGAGCATGGAGTCTTCCTAGCTGCAAGGCACTGGTTGCAGCTGTGTCATCTCAGGGCTCCTCGGGACAGGTTCTACCTCCCCACTGCTCAAGCCTGTGTCCTAGCCACTCATTTTGCACACCACCAATCAAAGCTTCAGGGTTAAACAAATCTGGCTGGTGCTTATAGGGGTTTGCTGTGCCCAGCTCTGTGTTCCAGTGCCTCTCCTTGGCCACCTTCTCTCACCCTCAGTCAGCCCAGGACATAGATCCTGTTACCAGAATCCCAGTTGTACAGGTGGAGAAACCAGGCACAGGGAGGTTGATGAACGGGTCCAAGATCACACAGCAGGCGCCTGACGGCACTTGAGGTCCAACCAAGCTGTCTCACATGCTGGCCTGACCACCTGACCAGCAAGCCACAGTTCAGACTCAAACTCTCACACACATTTACTGTGCGTAGTCAGCACTATTAGAGCCCAGAGTTATGGAATCCCACGGGTCCCTTCCTCAGGACTCTGCCCAAAACTCTCGCTTCTCCTCCAAGTTCAAGTTCAAGGGCAAAGCTGTGATTTCCACCCCCAGCTGGGATACTCCGCCACTTGCATTTCCCCGGTGCTGTAATTTAAGAAGGATGTCCCAGCACGAGTCCTGAAGTTAATAAACAGCCTTTAGATGAAAAGTTAATCATGTCACGGTAGGGCTACAAGTTTGTTTACAGATCATTAACTACATAATTAATTTCTGCTTTCCCGGCAGAAGCCCCGTAAGAGACAGCATCTGTCTGGTTCACCACGCTTGTGCTCCTAGCACTCACCTAGGACCTGCCCTGCAATAAGGCTTGATAAATATTTGCTCATCAGATGACAGTGTGGGTCCACCTCTCCCCTGCCCTGGCCATCTGTCTTAGCCTGGACTGCTCTTAGGAAGCAGGGGCAAGTGCTGGGCACAGTGCGGAGCCACCCAGTGCCATTAGGGGACAACCCGGTCTCCAGGGTCCCCCTTCACTCAAGGGCTCTGTGGGGAAGAGCGATACAGAGGAGGGAGAGGAGCTCACTGCCTGCTTCCTGCACGGACAGATGAACTCCTCCCTGAAGAGTTTTTCGGCTTTTAGTTTTTCACGTTTTTAATTGTAGGAAACACACATAATGAATTTACCAGCTTAAGGTACTTCATAATGGCATCCAAACATCCCCACCGTTAATCTCCATAGTGCTTTTCACGCTGTAAAGCAGGAATTGTGCTCACTAAACCCCACCTCTCCACTTCCCTTCCTTTCCAGCCCCTGGCAACCTCTGCTCCACTTTCCACTCTGACGGTGGTCACTCAGGGATCCTGTGTGGGGTAAGCGGGATTATACAGTAGGCAGCTTGTCACGGCTGGCTTCTTTCAGGCACTGTCCTCTAGTTAATGTCACCTGTGGGGTAGCGTATGTCAGAATCACCTTTTTCAAGGCTAAATAATATTCCAACGTGTAGCCCATCTTGTCCATTCATCTATTGGTGGGCATGGGGGTCACCTCCATGCTGTAACTATTGTGCATAATGCCCCTGTGAACTTGGGTATGCAAGTAACTCTTTGACACCCCTGCTTCCAATTCCTTGGGGTACGTGCTTATGGATATGGTAATGCCATAGTAAGTTATTTGAGGGAGAGTCATCTGTTTTCCACAGCAGTTGTGACACTGAAATTCCCAACAGTGCACAGCTTGCTAATTTTTCTGTATTCTCACAACATTTCTCATTTTCTATTTTACGTTTCGTTGTTAGGTGTTGAACCAGCGCCTTTGCACTGAGCTACATCTCGGTCCTTTTGTGTGTTTTATTTTGAGCCAGTGTGTCACTGAGTTACCCAGGCTGGACTCGAATATTCGGTCCTCCCATCTCAGCTCCCCGGAGTGCTGGGTTGTAAGCGTGCACCGCTACACCTGGTATTTTCTGGCTTTTTTGACAGCAGCCACCCCAGTGGGTGTGTGGTGACTCCTGCCACAGTCTGACTGCAGTTTCCTATCAGGGAAGCTGAGTGACTTTTCACGCACTGGGCGACCCTTTGTAGATCTTCTTTGGAGAGCATCTGCTCAGGTCATTTATCCATTTCCAAATCGGGTGGTTCAGATATTGACTCTCAGCACATCTGGTTAGTTTGCTGGTGGACAGTGGCCCTGCTCTGTCTCATCCCAGCAACCACAGAGAAGCCCCCGATAGAAGGCAGCGCTGTGCCCATCCGACTCCGACAGGTGCAGAGGTGGCCACAGTGGGCAGAGCCTGTGACCCAAGGTCCAGGGAGAATCTGAGAGGCTCCTCAGAGGGGTCTGTTGCTGGGCTGGACGGGCACAGCTGGGTGCCTGCTCCCTAACTTTGGGATTCTGGGCCCCCCTGGAAACCTTCCTGACTCGTTTATCTTTCCCTGGCGTGGGGCCGTGTAGACAGAGGATACCCGGTGTGGAGTCTTTCCCGCCCCACTCACTGCGGGAGGCCTCTGCTGGGCCAGGTCTCCCCCTCCTGCCTCCCGGGCATGCTTGCCCTTCACCTCTAATTCACTCCCTGGACTCCCCAACCTCTGCTCTGCTTCGACAGTACTGAGCTCTTTTAAGATGCATGTGGAAGGTGTGGAGAAACCAGGGAGTTAGCTGCTGGATGTGGCCAGACCCGGAACACCGCCATCAGGGCTTAGAGAGCCGCTCTAGCGAGCAGCTGGGATTTCCCCGCTTTGAGAAGCGACTGCAGCATATCGAAAATGACGTGAAATTTGAAGTCAAAATATTCAAAGGTGCAATTATCCATTCCAGTTCATCAGCTGCCTGACAGTGAGCTCCTGGGCCTGTGTCCTGCCTGTGAAATGTGGGGAGCGATCAAAGTACACAGCAAATGTTTCAGTTTATAAATGCCTTTCAGCAAAAGATACCTGGCCAATTCCCCCTGGCTTCCAGCACACACACACACACACACACACACACACACACACACACACACACACGCACGCACTCTTGTCCCATGAACCTTGACACTCTCTGAAGCAGCTCCATAAGTGCTCCTTCGTGAGCATCGTTGTAAGACGAGATAAAATAAGAGTCAGGAAAACACAGTGAAGGCTGCTTGAGTGCCAGCCCACAGGCGGGCAGGCTGGCAAAAACCGTGTCCTCATCTACTTTATTCGCTAGACCTGACCCGGGGTATCTTCTGCCTCTTCCCACAAAGTCAAAGTCATCATGAAAGGGAAATATCATCCATCAATTCAGGACATCCAGGCAGCTGCCACAACACAACCAAAGACCCTCACGAAAGAGGATTTCCAGAGCTGCTTCAGAAAGCTGCAGACATGATGGGATCAGTGTGTTCAGAGTGGTGGGGGACTCCGAGGGGCATCCATGGCCATGTGTCTTTTAATTTGCATGTTCACCTTGTATGTAATCGCATCTCATAGTACAATACATGTAACTCCGGTTTAGCTGACAGCAGAGGTGGATGTGACTTTGGGAAACATAAAGGCCACAGACGTGAGCGTGCTTCTATCCTGTCCTTCTGTCTGGAGCCCTTCTCCCACCCCTCCCTCTGCCTTCCACACTCCTGGTCTTCCAGCTCTAGCTCACCCTCAAGATCCAAGGCAGACAGATTTGGGGTAACCTCCGGGATGACCAGGGCCAGGCTGGGCAACCCTCTGCAGGCCACCACAAGAAGTCTGGACTTGTCCCAGGGTAGTGGCAGCAACTGGCCTGTCTGAGCCCTGGGTGGAGAAGGGAGGGGAAGAATAAGAGAAGGCAGAGACAGGGGACAAGAGCCGAGTGGTGAGTGGTGGCCACCCAGATGGAGAGGGCAGGGATGGATGACTGAGGCCACATCTCCATGGGCCCCGCAGTGGCTCGTGGCCCTGTGTGCTGCTGGGCTGGGAGGAGGCCTTTTCTCTTCCCTTTTGGAACACAACAGAACCACACCTCGCCGGGCTCAGCCTCAGGTGAAAGGTCAGGTCACACCTTTGCGCCCCTGGGTAGGAATCAGCAGGACGCCCCCTAGCCAGCTGATTTGTGTTTGCAGTTCAATGTGAAGAAATCCACGGAGCCCGTGCAGCCCCGCGCTCTCGTCAAATTCCCGGACATCTACGGCCCCAGGCCGGCTGTGACAGCTCCGGAGGTCATCAACTACGCGGACTACACACTGGGCACCACGGAGGAGCCTGCTGCGCCCGCCAGCCCTCAGCCCCCGAACGACAGTCGCCTCAAGAGGCAGGTCACAGAGGAGCTGTTCATCCTTCCCCAGAACGGTAGGGGTCTCCTCTGCCTGGGGGGCCAACGCAGGATGGGGCTGTCCACATCACTGTGATGATTTGTGTGACCTGGCCACATGCAGTTGAAAGGGACGTCCCTTTCCAGTCAGGGAATGCAGCTATGGAGAAAGAATAAAGCATAGTAATTAAACTGCAGGCTACACTTGCCGCATAGCATCAGTCATGCTGCTAACCTTTCTGAGCCTCAGTCTCCTCATCTATAAAATGGGATCATCCCATCACCATCCTGTCAGGCTTGTGGAAAAATGTGAATAAAATTATGGCTTTACATGTTCAGTTCAGGGCCTGGCACATAACCAAAACCTACACTTTACGTTACTGTTTGATTGTCCTTTCCATTGGCATCAGAGTGGGCAGAGCAGCGTCCACAGGTGGACAGTGCCAGGCGGGGCGTGGGGTGACACAGCAGGCAGATGTGGTCCCTGATTCAAAAGACCGTGGAAGCTTTTTAGGAGTGGGAAACAAAGCCAGGGAGCAGACACAGTGTTTTGAGGTCTGGGCTTTGTTTGAAGAGGGGAAGACAGAAGCAGCCCATGACTTTGACCTTGACTTCACCTCAAAGCATTGCCTGGCCTGGATTCTCCTGTACCCACACTCCCCAATGGACGGGGCTCCAGACCGGGAGCCCAGGGACCAGGCTGGCATGGGAGCATGTGTGTGTGGCACCTGCAGCCCGGAGGAAGGAATCTGGGGGGCTTTGAACCTCCAGGTTTTCCCATCTACACTTTAGGTCGATTTAGAATGGATCCATTCAGCCAAGTGTGATGGTGCACACCAGTGACCCCAGCCTTCTAGGAGGCTGAGGCAGGGGGAAGACAGGAAAAAATCAGCCCCGGGCCATTTAGTGACTTAGGAAGACCCTGCACCAAAAGAAAAAAGTAGGGTAAAGGGCTGAGGATGCAGCTCAGTGCAAAGGTGCTGGGTTCATTTCCCTGTACCACACACACACACACACACACACACACACACACAGATCTCAGGTAAGTGGAGCTGAGACGACCTAAGAGCTGAGGGCTCTGGGTGCCCCTGAACCCCTCCCAAGGCCATCACTGCTGCAGTCACCTGTGGGATGGTCCTGGAAGCCAAGTTAGCCTTTGGCATCCATCCATCTCAATTTACACATTGGTCACTTCCTGGTCCTTTTCTTAGATGCCCTGGGGACATTTGTTACTATCTGCAGGACCTAATAATGAACCACTTTAGAAATTAACAGCCGCCTCTATTTCTAGTCTCTGAATTGGTCCTGAGCATCGAAAATTCAGTTCTGTTTTGCTTCAAAAGGTATCGGCAGCAGCCACTGGGTTCTTCCAATTCCTACCTTATGTTTGTGTCTCCAGCCCTTTGTTCCTGGAAGCAGGAGCTCTGTGGCGTTGTCGGTGGAGTGAAGCTGGCTGAGATTTGCCTACAGTACAGTCACCAGAATCACACAGGTGTGACAGTTTTCTTCCCCAAAAGAAAGAGCCTGTGGACCAGGCTTCAAGTTAAGAATGTCCCCTGCCTTATTTCATTTACTGTTCACAATAACTTTGGGGAAAAGGGGCTTTAAAGATGAGAACTCTGAGGCTCAGAGAGGTCAAGTAACTTGTCCAAGGTCACACAGTTATTGCACAGGAGCTCAGGCCTGACGCTGCAGCCCATGTCTCGGCCACTGGAATATGATGTCCCTTGAAGTGCAGTGCTTATGACCTCTGGTGTGACCTTTGTGTGACTACCATAGGGATTTTCAGAAACTTTGCATTTGGACTCACGGCTTAGGTGGTAGAGGTGAGGAAGATGTGGCCGGTGAATAGGACACCGGGGTGGCAGTGGCGCTGACAGCTTTGCCTCTCGCAGGTGTGGTGGAGGATGTCTGTGTCATGGAGACCTGGAACCCAGAGAAGGCCGCCAGCTGGAACCAGGCCCCCAAACTGCACTACTGCCTGGACTATGACCGGCAGAAGGCTGAACTCTTTGTGACTCGTCTGGAAGGTACTGCAGGCGGGATGGGAGGGCCTGCATCTGGGGGAGCAGGGGTTAGCACCCCAACAGACAGCCCCAAAGCACGGTCCTCAGTACAGAGATTTTCCTTCTGTTTTTGGTAATCCAAAGTGGGGGTTCCTGGTTGGTAGACATCTTTCCTCCACATCAAGGACCTGTCCTCCCCTCTGAGGCTCCATGATCCGGGCGGGGCCTCCTTCTCAGCTCTGTGTAGTGGGTATAAGGAGCACAAGAACCAGAAGGGGGTGCAATAGCCATGTTTACATGGACACGGCCTGTATCATTTCTGCTTACATCACATTGGCCAGAACCCAGTCACATGACTACGTCTCACTGCAAAGGAACCTGGGAAATGTGGCCTAGTGGGCTGCCCAAGTAAAAGAGGAGTTTTGGGGTAAACATTAATGGCTTCTGCCGTAGGTGCTTTGACAATGGACAGGGTTTGTGGTACACACCGAGGGTCTTCAGAACAGTCAGAAAAGTTTCCACAATCTGAGAACCCGACAGTCTTTCTGAGGGGTTAGGATGTGCCCGTTGTCCCTCTCCTGATAATGCACTTTACCATCAGTAAACAAAGCTAAGACTTTGCAAAGGAATCAGAACCAGAAGTGAAGCCAGATAAACTGGGCTTCTGTGATAAATTATCCTTTGTTTTTGTGTTGACTGGCTTTCTGTTGGTGTGATAAAATACCTGAAAAAAATCAATTTAAAGGGAGGGAAGGTTTATTTTGGCTAATGGTCATTTTGTCCTCTTGCTTTGGGTCACCATCAAGGCAGAAGGTCACAGCAGGAGTGCAGGGTAAGGGAGGCCAGGAAGCAAAGAAAGAAAAAACCCAGCATCTCCTGTCCCATTCAAGGCCACACCCACAATGACTCAACTTCCTCCCTCGAGGCCCCGCCTCTTAAAGGTCCCGCCTCCACCCATCAAGGCCATCAGCCTGAGACAGAGCCTTTGGGGAACACCATGACAGTTTTTGTTTTGTTTGTGGTACTGGGGATTGAAGCCAGCTAGGCATGCACTTTACCACTGAGCTACATCCCTGGCCCCTAATTTTTTTTCTCTCTCTTTTTTGAGTGGTTTTCCTTTTTGCTGTCTTTTAAATTTTTTAAGCAATTCCATATATTTTATTCTATGTGGTCCTCACGATAGTGCCGTTTTACAGACCAGGAGCCTGAAGTCTAGCAGCTCCTGTGGCTGGTCCAAGATCGCTCCAATTGACTGGTGACCGAGACAGGACAGGGCAGCCCCTGACCCTCAGCAGGGAGTTCCATCCATCCCGACAGCAGCGCTGGTTCTCCAGCTTCTCTCCCTGAGAAATACCAGCTCCCGCTTCCCAAATTCTCACTGAGAAGCCAGTTACCAAAGTACCACAGAGGGGAATTCTGGGTAAATCCACATGGTGACCATTAAAAATACTCTGATTCAAGGATATAAAGCAGCACACTGAGAAAGCACACAGAGGTTCAGGGAATGCTAGGATTTGAGTCTTAAGTGTTCATCAGAGGCCCCTGCGGCAAAGGCAGGCTTCCCTGGGTGGCACTGATGGGCGCAGGTGGACCCTTTAGGATGGGAGCCTGGTGGAAGTTCTCTAGCTCATAAAGGGGGCAATGGGACACGGGTCTCTTCCTCTTGCTCCTGGTTTTTCATTGGCCATGATGTGCTGCCTCACTGAGGACCACAGATGATGACGCCAATAGACCGTGGGTGGAACTTTCAAAACTGTGAGCCAAACAGACCTTTCCTCTATTTAACTTGATCTGTCTCGGGCATTTGTTATAGTGACAGGAAGCTGACTAATACAATGCACATTGTGACGCATTAAAACACCAGGGTTCCAATTGGAAAACAGGATCTATGAGGGAGCAGCCAGATGAGTCACATCCCAAGGGGTAAATATTTAACTTAAGGACTGAATGAATCACAGCATGAGTAATAACCCTGATTAAAGGGGGGACCCTGGGCCTTGGGGAGATCTCAGACTCCTGACCACAGAAGGGCTCTGGGAAGTGTTATTCCGGTCAGTGCTCTTCAAGAGGACCCACAGTGCTGAGCTGTACTGACCTCACTCCTCCACGAGCTCCTGTTTATGTCTTGTGCCAGGGATGACACTGTGCCTGGGTGCTCGGCCTGGGGTTCTGCATATGCCCAAGGTCACGCCCTTGAAGCTGGCTTCCACAGCCCTCATGAGGAACATGCTTCCTTCTCTCGGTCCTCAGAAAGCGTGTGTTTTTTCCCACAGCTCTGACCAGTGACCAGGATGGTGGCTGTGACTGCTATGTGCAGGGAAGTGTGGCGATCAGGACAGGATCTGTGGAGGCGCAGACGGCTCTGAAGAGGCGGCAGCTACACACATCCTGGGAGGAGGGCCTGGTGCTGCCCCTGGCGGAGGAGGAGCTGCCCACGGCCACTCTGACGCTCACCCTCAGGACCTGTGATCGCTTCTCCCGCCACAGCGTGGCTGGGGAGCTCCACCTGGGCCTGGATGGGGTGACTGTGCCCCTGGGAGCTGCCCAGTGGGGCGAGCTGAAGACTGCGGTGAAGGTAGGGGCCGTCTCACAGGGATAGGGAGAGGCTGACCATCGAGCGTTGGGGCAGAAGGCTGGGCCAGAGTGGACAGAGCACACCTGGAGACCGTCACGTTGGGAGGAGAGGTGCAGAGAGGCCTTGGACAGGGCTGCAGCTGGAGCAGACTTGTGGCCTGGGACTCAGAATTGCTGGGGTTCATTTGGCCAGTGTTCGTTGCCTACCAGAGATACCCCCTCTCATCTTCACGCAAAGCTCCCTGGGTGTCCGTTGGTCACATGCAACAGCAGTACCATCCATCCTTTTTTGGCTGTATTTTTTTGGTTTTTTTGAGATAGAATCTCACTGTATAATCCAGGCAGGCCTTGAGCTCACTAGGTAGCTTAGTCTGGCCTTGAACTCGTGGTAACCCTCCTGTCTCAGTGCTGGAATTAGAGGTATGCCCCACCACATGCAGCTAGCATCCGTGTTGAATTCCACTCACCCTCTGTGTGTACCTACTATGTGTCAGGCACTGCAGGAAGATGTGGACCAGGGGTGGGGGAGGCAGTGCTCCCCACTCACAGAAAGTGCAGGCTACAGCGATAAACCATCTGACCAGTGATGGCGATAGTGACTTCTGACATGTGGGATTCTGTGGACTGAACCAAAATGCTGCAAAAGAAAGTTCTAGAAGGCCTGGTGCACAGACCGCATGGCCCACAGCACTGTACACATTTCCTGTCTGGCGCCTTCTAGATTGTTCGCGTCCCCTGTGCTGCAGCAGTAAGACTGCTAACCAGGCACCTGCCTCTCTCCCTTCCTTTTTCCTTCCCTCCTTCCTCTCTTCCCGTCTTCCTGTCTTCCTGTCTTCCTGCCTCCTTTTCTTTTTTTTTTTTACAGTACTGGAGATTGAACCCAAATTTCACACTGAGCTACTTTCCCAGCCCGGTCTAATTTATTTTTTAATTTTTGAGACTGTATCTCAAAGTCGCCCAAGCCAGGTTTGAACTCGTGACCCTCCTGCCTCAGCCTCCCAGAGGGCTGAGCTTGTAGATGTGTTATCACTGTGGGCTCAGGCTGCTTGTATTGGTCAGGGTTTTACTAGAGAGAACAGATATAACCCAGGATATACAGAAACAAGATTGGCTTACAATAGTCACAGAGTCCGATGAGGAAGCGTGCAGAGGGTGTCTACGCACTGGAAGCCTAAGGATTTAATCTAAGGTTTGGAGTTCACCCTAGTGTCTTGTGCAAGTCCACATCAGCAGGCTGATGGGTCTGCGACAGAAGGCCGAAGGCTCTGTGATGAAAGGTGAAGAGCCTACACTGGAAGCCAGGAGGCGAGATCCAAACCAAAGGCGAACACTGGAGCTTCTCCCAAGAATGGAATGGATTCGTCCTTCCTCCTCCCCTTTTATACCTCGAGGTGATGACCCACCCTGGGGTGGGTCTTCTTCTACATCCTTGGGTGTAGAGTTGCTAAACCCATTTAGTTAGCTTCTAACTATCTCAAGTTGACACAATCAATCAACCACTACAATCCACTCCTTGTCACCTTGGCCTGCTTAACGCCTCAACCCTCAGCACCTCCCCCTCTCCACCTATTTATGCTGGTAACTTTCCTCAGGTGGAGCATCTTTGCCCAACACCATGCTGACGTAATCCAGCTGGTGTTAAGTTGACCCCCAGTTCTTAATCCCTAACACTGCTATTTCTGAGTCCTCCCATACATCAGCAGCCATCATTAGGACAGCCTGAGTTCTTCCAACTACTTTCCAAATCCACCAGGGAGAGAGAGACTCTGTGATGGTCCCATTTGTGACCTGACGCTTGCTGTCACTGAGGGACCTGCATGGTCACCAACCCGGACACCGACAGCGCAGCCTGGAGGCCGGTGATTGGACTCTGAACCCTGCTGTCTCATCCCGCCACACGCTTGCACCTGGCAAACAACAGGTGCAGGTCTCAGGAGCCTTTCCTAACAGATACTCAGCGCTCAAGGGCAAGAATGGTGCCGCTCCCCACCTGCCCCCCCAGCCAGCCTTTCTTCCTTGCCTCATTTTCCCCTTTTTGCTCAGGCAGGGAAAATGGATAAAATAATCACAGCCACTGCTGCATGCAGCGAGATGGTTCCACAGCATCTTGGTAATTAGCGTGTGAGCCGGGCTCGGGTGGAACAGACGGGGGACCAGCTTCCTCCCGAGATGCAGAGCCCCTCCTCCCCTCCTTGCTGAGCCTTGAGGCTCTGTTACAACCCTCGAAGGGCTGACCAGTCCCAGGCACCTCCCTGGCTTTGATCTCTCTGCCTTGAAGAGCAATATTATTCATTCATTCTGCAAATACTGTCTCCAGGGGACGCAGTCCAAACTGCAGTGGAGCCCCATTACCACAGCCACAGCTGCTGATGCTCACCCCTCTGCAGCTCTCCCCAACATCCACTTCCCTTGGGAATGCCAGGCAGAGAGACCCTCCAGCTAGCCAGGGACGCCCCCCCAATCTTGGTAAAGGGCACAGGCTGATTTAACCCTGGCTGGGGGAGCCTGCAGCTGTGGGGCCCCAGGGGTTCACTTCTCTGGGCCAGAAGGGGTTAAGAGAGGCATGGGCAGTGCCCTAGTTCTAGCCAAAGACACTCAGCCAAAAGTGGCTTGTGCGTCACCCGGCCCCACAGTGAGACTCACTCTGAGAACAGCCTGGAGTGATTCATTGAGAGCCACAGAGAAGGAGGGGTGAGGAAGCAGCCAGGATGCCAAGGGGCAGATGCCAGCCCACGGCACTAAGGTGCAGAGACAGGGGCCCCACCCCCACCCCAGGCTAGGGAAGCAGAAGCCTGCGGCCGTCACCCCACAGCTACAGACAGCGCCAACCATGGACCCCTGACACAGGACCTCGAGGCAGGAGGCAGGTGCCCATTCCGGCTCTGCTGCCACCCTGCTGGGTGCCAGGCACTTGTGCCCAGACCTTGGTTCCTTTTCTGCGAAATGAGAGGCTGGGTGTGTCCACCTGGGCAGCCAGCAGCCATGAATTTAGGACTCAGGCTTCCGTTTCTGACCAGCCTCCCTTCCCTTCCCAGTGCAGGTGGCTGTGCCTGAGAGGAATGAGATCCTTATCTTCTGAGGGTCACTGTCAAGGTTAAGTGGGGTGTCTCACCTGTGAACAGTTTTATTATTTTTTTGACATTTATTTGGTGCCTACTGTGTGCCAGGAGCTGGGGTACACAAGGAACTTCCAGCCCCGGGAGCGATGGTGTAACTACATTGAGCACATAGTAAATGTTTAATAAACAGTAGTTGCTGTCACTCAGATTCCTCAAGGTTCCTTGAAGGTCTAAAACTAGTTTTTCATAGATGAATCACTTGTGGCTGGCCGAGTCACTGGCATCTTAACTAGAGACGTTTTTCCTGTGTGGAAGGTGTGACCCATGGCCAAGTGAGCCTGGGCAGAGGGCCGGCCGCTGCTTCATCCAGTTTCATTCGCAAAGCTCCTATGGACCCAGAACCAGTGCTCAAGAAGTGGCAATGACCTTTCCACAACTAATGGTGACAATCCAAGCTGACAGTGCCATAGAGCCCAGGACACACTGGGCTTTGATCTGAACCTTTGCTTATGAACTCAGTTTAATTTTTACAACAACCCCATAAGAGAGAGATAATAGTAGTCCCATTTTACAGATGGAAAAATTGAGCCTCAAAAATTTAAGTTATTTGCCATATCACACAGCTATGAAACTCAGACCCAGCTTTCGGAGTCTGCACCCTCAGCATTACCAAACCTTGCTCTGGGTTATTAATAATCACTGTAATTTTGACAGCTGTCATGATAATTTACAATCTTTCATGAGGACTTGTTAAATGCATTTTCTCATTTGATCTCTGCCATCTGTATTTCCTCATAGCGCTGAACCACCCATGCAATCACTTCCTGTCTGTCACCCCCACCCCACCCCACTGCAAACTCCGTGGCCACTATGGGTTGTTCATTGCAGCACCTGAAACATAGTAGCAGCCTTTTGCACGCCTGCTGCATGGATGAGTCTCTTTTTGCTGCACAGGGAACCACTATGTGGAGCAGGCAGATCGCTTTCTTGGGTAGCAGTTGTCACCACACATGCTCATGCTCAGCGTGATGGAAGGAAGCCCGGGGCACCTTGGTGAACTTAGCCGGGGCGGCTGGGTGGGGGTGCTCCCTGACGCACCTCCACTGCGTAGTGGGGGAAGGAGGACAAAGCTGAGAAGGCGGGAACGGGACTGAACTCCGTGACATCGGGCGAGACCAGCTTCCGTGGTCATCCGCCTTCCCCACCCCTACACCGTGCAGCTGGCCAGGTGGGTGGCGGTCTCCAAACCCCCAGCTCCAGGGAGAAGCTTTCGGTCATGTTTTTATTTGCTTGTTCACTTGTTTTCCTGTTCCTTGATGAACATATTGAATTCAAGCAAACTCATACAGGACCATCACAGAAGAGACGCTCTGTGAAGTGCGCAGGGGACAGTTGTGTCCCGGTGCTGCCCGGAGGCTCTTGTCTCTGGGGCACTTTCTGCCACCCTGTGTCTGCAGTGTCTTGTTGCCTTTGGCCCTCCGTTGACCAAGCCAGCCTCTGCTCAGCATTATTCCAGCATTTTATTGACTCTGGCTCCCCAGAGGAAATTGGATTTTCAAACAGAGAGATGAATTACAACTCTCCATGCTCCAAAAACCTGATTGGTCAATGCAGTGATTCTCAGGCTGTGTGCCCTGGATCCCAAGAGTGCTGCAGTGGAACCCCAGGAGGCTAGGGATGAGGTGGGACCACAGGGTCAAGGGGATCCCAGAGTTCTGCCCCTCCTGCATCTTGAGTGTCATCTCCTTGTTCTGCATGGGACTGAAAACTGGAAACTTATTACAGTAAAAGACACATTACCATTCACCTCTCTAGAGTTGCTCCAGAAAGTGGCAAGGACAGGACAGGACAGGACAACTGTGTTCGAAGCAATGGGAGGATTTGGGGGGAGGAGTCATGCAGTGCGTCTTTGGGTGTAATAAACCTTTTTACTTAAATTCTCACCATGTTTTTGATCATCCCTTGTATGTTGGGTCTGAATATATGACACATAGAAAAATCACATTTTGTGGCAAGCAGCAAACTCCTGCAGATACCCACACCTCATAATACTCCACTGCTCTGCAGCGGGAGAAACCAGGGGTGAGCAACTCCTGGACGCCCCTTTATACCAGTTCAGTGCCACCCCAGGCTGGGCAATGCTTGTGGGCAGAACCCACGCCCGCTGCGACTCCCTGCTGTGTGTCCCCGTCTGTTTCAGGAGCCATCGGCAGGGACGGGAGAGGTCCTCCTATCCATCAGCTACCTGCCAGCTGCCAACCGCCTCCTGGTGGTGCTGATTAAAGCCAAGAACCTCCACTCCAACCAGTCCAAGGAGCTCCTGGGCAAAGGTGAGTGAGATGAGAGGGCGGAGCCAGGTGCCGGGTCATGGGGACGTTGGCAAGGGGCACGACAGAGTCGCCCTCCACCCAAGGTCACGGCCACATCTGAAGGCCACATTCTGTCCTTTGAGTTCACACTGTCATTCCAGCCCATCCCCGCCACGTGGGTCCAGCAAAGTGCTCCCTGGGCTCCCTGCCTAGGAGATCCACCATGGCAGCTGTCAGCCTGCGCACGGATCCAGGAAGCCAGGGGTCAGGCTCTGGCCACGGCGAGGAGTCCTGCTCCCAGGGACCTGCTTCCGGGCAGGTGCTGAGTGGGGAAGCCTGAGTGCTTTTCCTCCCATCTCCTCCAGCCTCCTCGGGCTCCTCTCTCCCTGTTCTCAGCCTTAGCTGACTGCCACCCCCGCACCAGCTGAGTGTGGGTGACACAGAAGGTATGTGGGTGCCGGGCAGAAGCTTAGGGAGTCTGTGCCCCATTTATCCACATAAGCCTCTTTTCAGCACTCTGGACGCCTCGGTTGTTCCTTTTGGGGGACTCCGGTGCAGGACCCAAGGCCTGAGACCAATGCAGGCTCTTCTGTCCAAGTAGGAAGGTGGCTGGGTTAGCACTGCCATTGTGTGAGGAATCTTGGAACAAAAGTTTTGGGCAAATGAAATCCAAAAAGGTCAGCCAGAGTTCAGTGCTTTTTCCCGTTCTCTCTGTCTCTCTGTCTCTCTGTGTCTCTGTCTCTGTCTCTGTCTCTGTTCCTTTACAGCTCCATTAAGGACAATCACAGCATAGCATTTTGTCTCTCAAATATCTGTACTGAAATAACAAACTAACCACCCAGAGGTGATAATTATAGCAATAAATACAAAGTAACAATTATTTTCCTATTAGCTTGGGGAACCTTGACTAAATGATTTGGTGCTGAACTATGAAAGTCTCTCTGGTGGCCCGTTTGTGGGTTTTTCTGGGAGCAGCAATATTGGTCCAGCCCCAGGACAGGGCAGGCAATCTGCCTTCACCCTCCACATGATGCTGGGGTTCTCAAGAAAAGCTTACAGCAAGTACAGATGGGATGAGAGTTTGATAAAGTCACAAAAAGACTTGGGAAGAGTCTTTTTGTGGGAGGGAGGGAGTCAAAAGATGGCTTGTTTTTTTAGCTTGAGTTGAAAATGGAGGTGCATGGCACCTCAATCATTGTGCTGGACTTGGTTTGGTCTGGGGCCAGGATGTCACTTGGGCTCAAGGTGGCAATGATTCCCTGCACCTCTGACCTGCACCTGTATAGGCCAACCCACCACCAGCCTTGAGCGTTATGCTACAGGCCGAGCATCGCTCATCCAAAACTCCGAAGTCCAAACTCCGGAAACTTTTTGAGCCCAAGTGGGGAATTCCATGGCGGGAAACTTTGTTGTATATACAAAGTTATTTTTAAAACTTGTATAAAATCGCTAACCGGCTGTGTGTGTAAGAAACATAAATGAACTTCATGTTTAGATGTGTTTTCTATCCCTCAGATATTTCATTAGGTATATGTATACATTCCAAAATCTGAAGGAAAAAAAATGCCAAATTTGAAACACTTCCGGTCCTAAGCATTTTGGAGAAAGGATACACAACCAGTGTTGCCCAATTTCCATAGGTTACTGTAAGTTCTACAGAGGCAGAGGCTTCTGTATAAACACAGCCCATCATCAGCCCTCAGATGCTCACTTGGTCTTTCTGTCTCTTTCCTCTCATCCCCTGCCCCCTCTAGATGTCTCCGTCAAGGTGACCTTGAAGCACCAGGCTCAAAAACTGAAGAAGAAGCAGACGAAACGGGCCAAGCACAAGATTAATCCTGTGTGGAACGAGATGATCATGTTTGAGCTGCCCGACGACCTGCTTCGGGCCTCCAGCGTGGAGCTGGAGGTGCTGGGCCAGGATGAGGCGGGGCAGAGCTGCACCCTGGGCCACTGCAGCCTGGGGCTGCACGCTTCCGGCTCCGAGCGCAGCCACTGGGAGGAGATGCTCAAAAACCCGCGCCGGCAGATTGCCATGTGGCACCAGCTGTGCCAGTAGCCAGCCACCGAGACCGCTCCTTTCTGGGGCACAGCCCTCTCCTCCAGCCCCAGCTGCCCCGTGCAACCTCCTCTGCCCCATCCTCATTCTGACAGACTGGGACTCCATGCCTCTTTGCTCATCCCACTCTTGTTTCTAAAAAACAAAGTAAGTGTGGAAATGGGCCATCACATTGGGTCCCACTGAGGAGTGCAGCTTGCTCCTCTGTGCTGTGGAAAAGAGGCATCTATCAAACACACCTGTGCAAGATTTGCAGGCAGAGGGTGCGGTGGGGGTAAAATGCAGAGAGAATTTAATTCAGGGACTTGTGGGTGCAAAGAAGATGGTTTCCTAAAAATCAGCATTTTGACGAGGAGGAGAAGGAAATGAAATGATCCTGGATCAACGCAAAGCATTAGAGCTGGTCTGCATGAGATGAAACCGAACCCCCACCCAAGCAGCCCTGGACCCTGAGTGCTGAGACTCAGCCGCCAGCTCCTGGGCCCTGAGGAATCCCAGAGCAGAGATCCTGGCCAGACTGCTCCTCTGTCCTTGTGAGCGCTGAGATTCCAAGGCAGAGGTGGGACCCGGAGAGGTCCTGTCCGCAACACTCCACGTGGGCTTCCAGCCTCCGTCCACGAGGGGCCCCGACACCTGGAGGCAGCTGCCCCAGCCCTGGGCACCTCAGTCCTCCGTGCAAACTCGGAGCCTCTGTTTTTCATTCAATTCATAATGGTGAACTGTGTGCTTTTCCAGCTCCTCTTCTTGGATTACATTTTGTGCTTCTTATGGAAGGATTTTATTGTTTTATCTTGAAGTCAGCTTGCCCTTGAGGAACCTTCTCCCACAAAGTGTAGGCGGGATCCCCGCTCCGTGGGTCGCTGGGCTGGATTCGGAGCATCCTTGTCACTCACATCTACCAGCATTACCAAACTGAGCCTGTGTGACAGATCGATCCCTTCTCTGCACTCCAGCCGCTCCTGGAGAAAGCTGGTTATAAACGTGGCCTACGCCATCTGACTGCACGAACGTGGAGAGGAAAGACAGCTTCACCAGGCAGTGAGGTCTTTTGCAGACCTCCTCCCTCCCCGGGTTCTGGAGTTCTTATCATTTTAACCAGTAAATATTTTCAACCTCCTTATCCCCACATGGATGTCCCCGTTGTGACTAAATCTAACCGAGGGGACCGCACTACTCACCTGTGATTCTGCTCTCGTTACCCTACATAACCCCGTAGCTTGGCCATCTGTAAAGAGGGACCCACCTCCTGGGATCCTGGCTGTGTGCGTGACATGGCAGGTGCACAAGCGTTCAAAAGCTGAGGCATTCCTCAGCTAAAAGCAGACTCTGAGACCACTAGCAGGTCACCTTCAAATGGGGTCCCTGTCCTGCACTTCAAATTGGCAGCTGAGAATGCCCAGAAAGTTGTAGAGCTGTTCAAATAATTCCAGAACCACGGATTCTGTATTTGAACTTCTTTCCATCTAATCATATCCAAACTCTGGACCCTCCAATATCAGCCCCATTCCCCGGTGGGAGGGAGGGTTCCAGGATGAGTGAAGAGCATCGTTCTTAAGTCCAGCTGTTCTTGGCCTCTCCTGAGCAAGGACTTTCTAATCTTTTGTCATTATTTGTTCCTTCTATGCAGAAATGGGAAACTCCTAGAAACAACTTCTACCCACTCCGTACAATTGAAAAAAAATCATACAACCCCTCTTTCATGCGCAAGGCTTTCAGATAATGGCACACCTTGATCTTTCAGGTTGAGCAGCCCTTGGACTAAGTGGTTTTTGCAAAGGTGCAGTGTTGTCTTTGGTTTCTTGAAATGTTTCTGAGTTCATCTTCTGGCCTGGTCTCTTTTTGGTTGGCTTGACAAAAAGAGAACCAGGTATTTCCTAGGTGACCTGAAATCTGGCCAGCACCTGCTACCCTAGAAATGTTTGGTTTCTAAACTTAAACATCGGGAAACATGAGTCTGCTTCCTTATCCATCAGAGCACTGCCTTACAGCCCCAGCAGAGGACACCTGAGCAGTGCTGGACAGGGCCCCTGGTCCAGAATACCAACGCCACCCCAAGTCATCCCGTTCACTTCTTTGGATCTCAAAGGTTTAGTTTTCTACAATCTCAACTAAAGGTTGCCCCTGATAGGACATCTTATGTGTCACCGTCACCCCACTTAGCAGGGAAGTACAGAACTGACAGAGGCCTTACAGGGGCCTCATTTGGATCTTCATTGGTGGCTTCCAAGCGCTAAGGATAAAGCTGTCTCATGGGGGCTCCATCCAGGCTTGCTGAATGAGTGAATGCAGGATGGATGGGCTGTCACCAGAAAAGGACAGTGCATGGCAGAACAGGGAGGGCCCTGGATGAGTTGGCAGGGAGAAAGGTGTCAGCCATTCCAACAGTTGGCCTGGAAATTCGTGACACTGAGGATCAGCCTTCACCTAATGACAGCCTAAGTTCTCTGTGTAAGTGGATTTAACAAAAGAAGAGACTGTAACTGTTATGCTTTCCCACCAAAACGCTATGCTGGTGAATTTTAAATTACTGAAGAAGGTTGTGTATGGTGACCCATGCCTGTAATTCCAGCACTCTGGAGGCTGAGGCAGAAGGATCGCTGTGAGTTCCATGCAGCCTGGGCTACGAAATGAGCTCCAGGCCAGCCTGAACTGCACAGTGAGACCCTGTCTCAAAAAGACAAAACAAACAAACAGAATTACCCAGAGATGTCAGACTGCCATGTCAAAAAATTTCAGTAACCTTTGCCTCAGTTTACCTCGTACCAGACACACTTGCAATTTACCTTTGAATTCGAGTGATTCAGTCTGTGTGGACAGTTGACCACTTTTGAAAGGGGTACCTTGTTCTCAGAGGAGCATTTTCTAAGAAAGGCATGAAGCAGAGATGGAAACAAAACAGGAGAGTATTTCAGGCTGGCTGTCACCCTAAGGGGGATCTGCTTCTGTCCTAGAGACGGCCAAGGGCTTGGAGGGTGACGAGTCCATCTCCATCCATCGGGGACTTCACTAACCCAACACACACTTGTTGAGTCCTGCTCCTCAAGACCTTGCATGTGTCTGTCTCTTCCGATTGAAGATGTGACTCTTGGTGGGGGTCAGGTGACAAGCCACCCTAGCTGAAGCCAGGCAGAGTGGGCAGAGGGGGGCAGGAGTGCTGCTCTTGGGGGCCACTTCCTTCTGGGTGGAAGGGAGCCACATGGAAGTGGGGATGTGACAGAGACCTGGTCCTTGTGATGTGTTGCCGCCTTTGTTATTTCCTGTGGTCAGTTGCTCTGTGTGTGTGTGTGTGTGTGTGTGTGTGTGTGTGTGTGCCCATCATGAACCGAAGCACAAAAAGATGCATGAGATATTGTAGTCATGTATCCTGTGTCACACTCTGGAACCAAACCATTGCAGTGGTAAATAAATAACTTCCAACAGGGTCAGCAGCTTGGTGTTTCTCTTTTCTTCCCTTTCACTTAATATTTCAGGCATATAAAATGCAGGGGGAAAAAAAGCACGCAGTAAGCTCTCTTGAGCCACTAGAATCTAATGAACCTTGACAGCTGCAGCTCAGGCTGCTCTGTGACTTTTAACTTCAAAGACTGGCATCCTGGCCTCGGGTTTTCATCCTAAGAGGTCCTACGGACTTGAACACATGTACATATGAACTCTGAGCAATAGACCTATTTTGTGAGTGCTGTAAAGCAGTATTTAAATTACATAACACTATTTTTGCTCAAAATTAAAATTTTGAACTTCAGCTATGCAGGCAGAGGAGTTCTAAACGGAGACATACATAGTGTTAATTTGTTTCTCTTTCACTGCTGTATAATACTCCATGGTACAAATATACCACATTCACTCTTTTTCCTTCCTCTCCTCCCTCCCTCTCTTCCTTCCATCTTTCTTCCCTCCCTTCATTCCTCTTTCTCTTACAAGAAATGCTGTCATGAACACTCTTATGCAAGTTTCTTGAAGGTATACACCTAAGAGTGAGCAGAATTGCTAGGAGAGAGTGTCATGTGTTTATGCATGCGTGTGTGCCTTGGGGGTCTTTTGCAAGCACTGGATCAAAGGGGCCACACGTTATTAGGGATGCAAGGGTTTTAACCCCTTTAAGCCCTCCTGAGAGCTAACCCTCACTCCTGATGAAGAGTGGGGTGCATGCCTGTCTTTCTTTCACAGCCCCCAGAGCAGTGCTCCTGTCTCTGAAAGCTCCATTAGCAGCAGTGGTGTCCCTGAGCGCCAGGTGGCAGCAGAGACAAGGGGACTCCCAGCGTCCTCCCACGCTAGGCCCCAGGTGGCCACTGCAGGGTGGTCTCCAGAGGAAGAGGCCCTGGCATTTCAAGGGGCAGGGCCTGCATTTTAAATCCCTGGGAAATTAGCCAGGGCACATGGAATTAATTGAAGCTTCTTAAACAGGATAAATGGTCTGTAAAGAAAGCCATGAAATGTCTTTACTTTCTAAGTCTGTGCACATAATTCTTTATTTAGTATTATATATGCATATTATATTCTAATGATAACCAGGATTTTTACTGTCATAATAAAATATGATAAGTGGGTTTTATCCCACAGAGCCAGCTATGACATAGACTGCGCTCCCCAGAGAGCTACGAATGGCTGCAGGAGGATGCATTCACTGATTGCCACGGCTGGGGCTCCCCTCCGATGTGCCTCACCCTGCTCCTCCACACCAAGTTGCCTCGTAGCCAGAGGAGCATGATGGGAATTCAGGACCTCCCGCTCCAGTGGAGCTTGGGTCCTGGCCACCATCATGGCCCTGCGTGAGTCACTTGCCTGTGAGCCTGAGTTTCCACCTTTGTAGAATGAATTTGGACCAAATGAGCGCTAAGGACCCTTCTAGGTCTAATCTTTTGTGATTTCTCATCTAGATTGGCTACAACTTACTTTGCACACCTTAAGCATCCTGGTTCATGCATAAAACAAACCCACCCCACGTGCACGTGTGTCTGCACCCCTGCCCCACTCCAGGTAGAGCTCATGAGCACCTCCTGAATGGTTCCTCCTGACAGCCACTGCTCTCCTAGACACTGCACCTGAGACTCTGAGTCAGCCTTGTCTCATTTGCTTAATTGCTGATAGAGTCACTGGTAATTTTCCACCAAGAGTTTCTATTTTTAGAGCCAGTTGGAAGCACCATCCTTTCAAGAGCTTGGAACTTGAGCATCTGTCCCATCTCCCTCCAAGCCCAGATGCCTGGCAAGAAGGGTAAAGCAGATGATGTGGCTCTAGATGGATGTAGGTTGGCTGCTGTCCTGGTGGTGGTGCACTTCCCCCTGCTCTCTGTCTCATCTCCTCCAGGTGAGCAGCACAGATGGTCCCTGGCAGGGACCTGAGCAGCTTTCCCAACTAGAGACAGAGGCACCTACCTGGGAGGAGGATGCAGGAAGTTAGTCTTGGTACTGGAAGACAGATATTGCCATGGCAACCAGTCTAGCAGTGATCACCATGCGATCAAAGCCATATGGTGGCTTGTTCCTAGTCAGATTTGGTCTCCAATTATTATGGTTCCAATTGTGACGTCCTTCCAAAGCCTCATGTCCTCATGGAGGAACTTTTTGGGATGGGTGTTTGATACTGGATTAACCCACTGATTAGCGTAGTTCTGGGTACAACCAATGGATTTTCTGAAGAGGAAAGACCCACCCTGGGTGTGGGTGCACCAACCAATAGGTTTGCAACCTAGATGGAATAAAAAAGGAAAGGAAGCCTGGCGGCCTCCTGCCTACCGTGCTATGGACTGTTTCTCCTCTCCAGTACACCTCTGCCACGCTGCCTGGGAACCAGCCAACTATGAACTGAAGCCTCTACAAATTGTGAGCTAAAACAGATCTTTCCTCCTTTAATTTGTGGGTACTAGGTATTTTGCAGCAACAGGAAGTAACTAAAATACCCATCAACACGGCCCATTTTGGGGCATGATTTACCATCCCAGTTTCCTGATGATCATTCTCAATATTTCAGGCCTTTTGGCAGATGGGGAGGGGAAGCAGCAAAAATCCTTTTTCAGGAGACCACAAATTCCAACCAGAAATAATTGAGGACAATATGCCTTTGTAGCCAAAACAAAAAAAAGAATTTTGAGGGCTTTCTCCCTTGGAGGACTATGGGAGATGAATGTTAGGAGCAGGAGAGGGAACCCTGGGGACACCCCCTCACCCAAGGTAGCCCCTTCTGGATGAAAATTATAGCATCGGGGACTCCCAACACTGCCTGGCATTTATTTAATCCTGGTCTGAGAGGTCATCATAATGATGCTAGTAATGATAACTAATTAACACAGAGTAAACTATGCTGTGAGCTAAACAACTAAAGAAAGAGGCTCAGTGACTTGGCCAAGGTCTTGTGGCCTAAAAGGCAGACATAGCACAGAATGTGGTACTGTCCCATCCTGAAGTTTACCTTCTGGGGTACAGTCAGTGGCTAAGGTTCTTTCCTGGGGGGTCACTTTGATGAAAAGGTAGTAACCTCAAAATGCTACCAGGAACCATGAAATCCAAGCACTACTAAGCTGGTAAGAACTAGAGAGGTCCCCACAGGAGACTGGGAGCCACCTGAAAGACAGTGTGTGGTGTCTTAGTCACCTTCCTGGTGCTGAGACGCAATGCCCAATACCCACTTTAGAGAAGACGTTTATTTTGCTTCACAGTTTCAGTAGTTTTGGTCCACATTCAGCCAGCTCCATGGCAGAAGCAAGATAGTAGAGGAGTCTTGCCAGAGGAGAGCTGCTCAGCTCATGGTGGCCAGGAAGTAGAGAGAGAAGGGAGGAGCCACGGAGGCAGATAGAGGCTTCCAGACCACGTCTGCAGGGACTCACCTCAGCCAGGCGCTACCTCCTAACAGCAAGTCAGCTATGGGACCCCCACGATTCAATCACTTTCCAAGAGCCCCATCTCTGAGCATGAGTCTTTGGAGAGGAGGGGGATATCCACGGCATTGTCCAAGGAGGAGGGCAATTTGGAACAGAGGGGAGCTCAGTATGCAGCGGTGGGCAGCCTGAGCTTTTAGATAGGAGGCTGGGTCAGGGTCAGGGTCAGGGTCATTCTGCTGACATGAGGGAATCCAACACAGAGGCAGGCAACATGGAAGAACCCAGGACTTCCACTGTGACTAATACAATTGCTAGGACCACACTTCTCTCAGGAGTTGCTTAAATTCATCAACCCTTCAATGGACACTTGTTCAGCACCTGCTCTGTGATAGGTGCTGTACACAGTGGCGCTGACAGCCTTGACTTATCCCCAGTGGGAGAGGGGAAAAGTCATAAGCACGCATACACATTCGCAGTAGTTACAGGCTGCAGGCTGAAGTAAGTCTTAGGAGGGAAGTATCAGGAAGAACGAAAAACAATGCCTTGCAGGTGGCTATTTGGGAAACGTGATCAGGAGAGGCCCCTCTGGGAAGGTAGCATTTTAAACCTAAAAAAAGAGAAGACCTTTACCCTGTAACCAACTTGAGAAAAGCCACCCAGGCCGAGGGTTCAGGATATCCTGATAAGGTCTCAAGGTAGAAAACAGCTGGGCAGTTGGGAGCCAGAGTGACCAATCAGGGCAGGAGAGGACCAGGCCAGGCAGGCAGGGCCTAGGGGGCTGGTGACTCGGAGAGAGTCTAGATGGAATCCCCGGGACAATGGGGAGTGACTGGAGGGGTTCTGTGGAGAGGATGCCATGATAGGATCTGTGTTCTGGGAAGATCATTCTAGAAATTTTCACGTGGAGCCCTTTGGGTCTTTAGGCAGCTGACCAGGCCTCTGAGATGTCCTCTGGGGTGAACTAACTCAACTTGTAGTTTGAACCTTGCAAACAGAAGCAGGGGCTAAGTGGGAGGGAAGGGAGTGGAATGGACTGTTCACCCTTACCACATCCTCCAAGCCCCACTTCTGGGGCTTTTAGCCAAGTATGGATGGGGATTTTTCCTTCCCTCAAATCCCAGAGACAAAATCAACACATTCCAAAAACTTTTGTACGTGTGAGTCAAATCTGGGTAGCCTGGCGGTTGTGGGAGGGGGAGAGTGGTCCAATAGCTCAGGCTCCATGTGGATAGCTGAGCCCCTTTGCTCCTCCTCCTCTTCTCTTCTGGGATGCAGAGAACTAGAACATTCCATGGGGACCATCAAGGGGCTTTCCCAACAGCAAGCTTCTAAGTGCTAAGTGGGGGTGGGGGCACTTCCTGGACTGCAGGAAACTGCCAGACACTCAGAAGGCATCGGTGGTGAGAAGGGAGAGATGATGTCAAATAAATGATGCTATTAAGGAGGAAGAGCTCAGGCAGGAGAAGACTCAGCATCTCAGGGGGAAGAGTAAGAACAGTCTGTATCTTTATTGGATTTATGCCCATCCCCTTTATAAAACCACCTGGGCAAAACATCATGTATTTCCCAACCTCAGGCCAGTGCCACTGGCAAACTATGAGGGAAAGATCCTTACGGTGTCCAGCCCTGTGCACAGAGTCAAGCTTGTTTACCTACAATGGCTCTGTACACTGCCTTAAAGAGAACGCTGCGGGGTAAACATGTATGGGGAAATACACCATTTAAAATGGCTTTCGTCACACCCCCTGTTAGTCAGCATTCCACTGCTGTGACAAAATACCTGAGAAAAATCGACTCAAAGGGAGAAAAGATTTATTTGGGCACATGGTTTCAGTGCATGTTTCTTGGCCTGATTGCTTTGGGCTTATCATGAGGGAATTCATCATGGCAGAAGCATGTGGTGAAGAAAAACTGCTCATCTTCTGATGGCCAGAAAAGAGAAAGGGGACAGAGACAGAGAGAATTGGATCCAGGACAGAATATATACTTCAAAAGCATGTCTCTGGTGACTGGAACCCACTTCTTCCAACTGGGTCCCACTTCCGGGAGTACCCACCACTTCCGGGAGATCCACTACTTACCAGTAGCGCCACCTGCTGGAGCCTAACCCGTTCACACCTGAGCCTTTGAGGGACCTCCCTGATCCAAAATAAATACTTCCTTTAGTTTGACAGGTGAGCTAGGCATGTAGATTGCCTGCTAGAAGTGGGCTCCCCTCGGGGGAAGTGATTTATTGTCCTAAAGAGGCTTCTTCTAGTTCCTTCCAAATTAGGAGCAGGCAGGTTTCTACTCTGCCCCCTGAACTCCTGCAATGGGAACCCTTCAAAATCACCCGGAATACAGGCAGGGGAGAGAGGCAAGCAGACAATAGATTTGACTTCGGTGAGTAAATTTAAATGCTTTTATTAACAATCTTCTTACATTACAAGGATAATATGACAAAAGGAAAGTTTCTGCGTACATATGATAAACCAACATAGCTCTATCTGTATCCAGTGTCCTAGGTCCCATCACACAGGTACTATAAAGCGAAGTCTGCGAAATAATAACATTGAGAGGTTTTTTTTTAAGAAAGAAAGTATTAACATATTAATATGTATGTGATAATAGACTCCTAGGTATCTCCCCCCACCCCCACTTTATTTTTCCTTTGTGATTGAAACGAAAATGGTCAGCAGCGTGGGGGTGGAGAGAAGGAGAGAGATGTGGGGCTGGAAAAAGACAGAATCAGACTGCTGGTTCTTCGGGAGAGACAAAGTGGAGACTGAGGGGTGCCCGCAGGCGGCCCGGCCTTTGTCTTCTGGTGAGCAGCGCTGTCACCGGCTGTCCCCGTGTGCACGGAGGCCGGGCCCCTGGATGCCTGTGGCAGCTCTCTCTGAGGTACAGTGCATTGTGGGGTTGCTACTGGGCATGCCCGTGCCCTGGCCGAAACCGACCCACTGCATGGGGCGAAGGCTCGGGCCTGGCCTGGGCTCTCTAGAGCCAGACCCTGGCGGGTGTTCCCAGACCCAGCTGGCAGCTAGCTGTGGCTCAAGGAATGGGCATCGGCAGAACAGACCCGTGCCCAGGTGCGGGGCAGGGGCCAGGTCTGTTGGAGACTGAGGTACGCTGGTAGGATGGTGAGGAAGAGCAGACAGGGGCCCCGGGAGGCCCGGGGAGGGGAGCGGGTGCCCTTGGGGGCCCACAGGCCAAGGCCTCTCTCCAGAGCAGCGCAGGCAGCTGCCCTCCGAGCCGTCACCCGCAGCTCGGCCAGGCCCTCTTCCCACCTTAGGGAGACAAAGGACGGAGAGGAAACTGAAGCCGCGGGCACCGGGCTCCTGTCAGGGCTGCACGAGCCCTCCGTCGTGATGCAGCCAGCTGCGCCCGGGTCCCTCTGGCTGCCAGATGTCCCCTTCGGGCCCAGAGTGGGAGCCGGGGACAGGCTGAGGACGGTGTCTCGCCCCACGGAAGTCCATGGGCCTGGGCGCGGGGCTCAGCCTCTGCCTGGTCGCGGAAGGAGAACAGTGTACATGAACCCGCAGGTTACAGAGTGGGTGGGGCCCCTGGGAGCAGGGGTCGCAGTGTCCTGAGTAGAGCCAGCAGAGGGCGCTGGGCCAAAGCCCTGTTTCTGAGACTGAGTTACCACTGAACTATGAGTGTGCGGATCTGTCTCTCCCTACCCTCCCTGTGAGCAGATGCCCCTGCCCTGGCCAGAAAGCCTCTGGGTGGCGAGCAGCGCTGCTCTGTCCATCTGGGCAGCCCTGGCAGACAGTGGTTGAGCAGGCGAGGGGGGCCAGGACGGCTGTCGTTCAGAGGCTTGGCCTCTAGGGGGCGGCAGAAGCACCCGACAGGGAGGGGGCATCATTCTGGACCACCTAGAAAAAAACCAAGTGCATCTTTCCTATTGCCAGCGACGCTGCTTAGTCTTGGAGGGAGAGGGGACTGGGGGTTTGTGCAGTGGACCCTCCAGAGACCACGCCCTTCTGCCAAGCAACAGTGACCACGGAGGCGTCGGCTTGTGGTGGGGGGAGGTAAGTCAGGGAGTATCTCCTTCCAACCTCAGACTAAGCACGGGAAAGGAGAGAAAGTGCATGAGGAGGGCCGGGGCGCAGCTGGGGCTCGAGGGCCCCCAGAGCCATCGAACTGCTGTTCCCCATCTTCCCCACCCCGAAGCCCGGCCTCCTTCCCTCCCACGACAGCGACAGGCCACCCTCCCACTACTCCTCCAGCTCTATAGACTTCTATTTTTTATATCTATTTAAAACATAGAAATGTATAAATATATAGGATATTATTTATAGATATAGACGTGATTTAATCTCTTCTTCTGTGTGTAGCCGTACTGGATATGTCCATATATACAATCTAGATGCTGTAGGTCAGCAATTGTACACTGCACACACCCCTGTTTCCATGCAGGTCTCCCAGAGAGACCGGATTGCATAGGTATTTCCAGGGCCATACCACTTGAAGGGACAGGGGAGGGGATGGATGGAAGAGAAGGGCCGTACCATTTTCCTCCCAAAATGGCACCTTTTCTCCTTCCAGCTAACTTGCAAAGACCATCTCCAAGAATCACAGCTCCAAGCACTGGGCAAAAGCACCAGGACCCAGAGAGGGCAAGGGGAGGGCCACCCTCCAAGCAGGAGAGGCACCTTGGGCATCTCCATTCCTTCTTCCTGAGGAGCGGAGGAGCACAGGCTAGGATCCAGCATGGTGTTCCCGATGGGCTCTCCTAGCTCAGCTGCTCTCTGCACGCCCTTTCTCTTGCCCTCCTGATGCCCGGCCTGACTGCTTCCACCATCTCAGCCCAGCCTGGCTAGAGACCCAGGGGCGTGCACACGAACCAGCGTGACTGGAGCCTTCTGCCAAAACAGGATGCATGGACCAAGAAAAAGTACAACTTCTCCTTGGAAATAAGCCCAGGCCCTAAGCCAAAAGCAGACCTGCACACGGAATGGCTGTTCCTGAGTCAGTAGGAGGAAAACTGGAAGGTGAAGTCCACAGGACAGAAGGTCTGTTCTAAGCCACTGGGCTCCAGGTGGGCCGCTAATGTGGGTGCCAGCTGGGCTGGGCCTGTGGCCCGTGTCACCCTGTGCTACTGTGCTCAGCCTTCACATGCATTTCCCTTTTGCCTCTTTCTTGGCCTCACCTCCGGTAAATGGAAAACATATTCCAACAATGCCGTAAGTCATTACAAAGTCCTTTCCCCAAATTAAAGGGCTGGCATAGATGAGTCCAGGGGAGGAGCTCGGCCTGACAACTTGACCTGGAAACACGCAGCGGAGGTAGAGGACGGGGTCCCCACGCCCACCCCAGCCCCAGTGCCATAGGCCCCAAGGCCCAGCCCCGAACTGGGCCATCTGGGGGTCCTGGAGCTCTGTCTCACCCTCATTCCAAGGGAGGATGGGAGAAGATGGGACTTGCCCAGTATCACAGGATGTCACAGACAGTCATTAAAATAGAAGAAGAAAAGGCTACCGTCTCAGATGCCCCAGTGCTCTGTCTTACATGACAGGCAGAGAGAACTTGAGGACTCAAACCCAGCCAGAGCTGCAGAGACGAGACCTGAGGGTAGAGGATCTTACTGTTCCTCGATTCGGGAGGAGCAGGTGATTCTTATCAGCGGGCATCTGGTCTCTACGCTCTGCAACACAGCTGATCAGCACAACTGGCCACAAACCTGGGCCTCGAACTTGATTCACTTCTCACCTTTCCATGAGCCAGGACAGTCCCTAATCAGCCAGCTGAGCGAGGACAAGCCTCAGCCCTAAGACACATCTCCTTCCAATCTATGGGGTTCACTCTCAAGCCAGGGGCTCAGTCAAAGGGCTGCATCCATCCAACGGAACCGAATTTGGGGTACACAGGCTGCCTGGCCACAATCGTTCCATGTATCCAAGGTATCAGGCTAGTTCCACACAGGGCTCCCTGGCCAGATTCCAAGAGCCCCATCAACTAAGCCCTTTTTCAGGACAAGAAAGAGAGAGAAAATTGCCTAGGACAGGAACAAGGAGTCATAGAAACCGTAATTCACAGGACAGAGCTTCTGGACCTCCCAGGGAGTCTGTGGGCTGAGAAAAATCCCTGTGAAAACCGCAGTGGCTTGTCACCCTTATGGTCCCCAGTTACCCTATGTCCCGAGACAAAGTGACCTACAGAGCATATGCCGAAGCCCAGGCCTGGCCGAATCTAGAGGAGCCATGAGCACCTAGAGCTTTAGAGGCCCTTGCCAAACTTAATACCCCTGAGGGCTCCACTCCTCCGAGGCCTGGGGACTGTGGTGGGGGGTGGTGGAGGTCCCCATCCCCAAGAGCTGCAAGGTAGGCCAGGCATGGGCTCTTGTGGGAGGCCTGAGCTCAGTTTGGCCTTGGTCCCCTGGGAGGGAACAGTCACAGCCCGGACTTGTTCTCAGACACTGGTTCTCTCCTGGCTTCATGTGAGTGGTCTGGGCCCAACCCCTTCTCCCCAAAGAGGGTCCCCAAGCAGAGGGCAGGGAGGCTGGGAGGGGAAGAGGAGGTGTAAGGCAATCATTGGCGAGAAGAAGGGGCCCCGACTGATCGTGCCTGCCCCACACCGAGGCCTGCCTCGCCGGCTTCCCCTGCCCTCTGCCCACCCCGGGCTCGGGGAAACCCCAAGACTGTGGTCTGTGTGTGCAAAGCGATGGGAGGCTGGAGCTGGGAGATGGGGCCCTTGTGCTTTGCCACGGCTTCCCACCTGACCCCGACTCAGCGAGACTGGGGTCATCAGAGCATCGGCCAGGAGCGTCAGGCTGGGGCTCTCCTTAGGAGTCCCTGCTAACCCTCCAGCTCTTGCAGGAGGGTGTGGAAGGATGTGTGTGACTTGGGAAGTGGGGGATGAGGCTCACCGGTAAGGGTGCATTGATTTGTTGAAGAAGGCAGCATATGAGGCCTGGCAGTAGGACAGTTGAGAACCCCAGGATTTCTGTTGTTTGTTTGTTTGACATGCTACATCACCGTTGAAAAACAAAAACATTTCAAAAAAATAATATATAATATATATAATATATTTATATAATGAAAAGCTATTGACTAGCAGCAATGATTCTAAAGTTACCTTAGCACCACGACCATGGGGGCGAGGGGAGGAGCTGTGAGGGACACAGGGACTGGCAGGACCAGGGAGGGACAGCAAATGTTCAGTGTTGATGACGTTCCCACTGTGGTTGTGAACAGTGGCAGGGACAAGATAAACCAAGGAGGAAGGAGGCTCCCGCGGCTCCCCGGGGAACTGACCACGGACGGCCAAGCCCATCTCCCTCCCTTCCCCAAGGACGACCTGTGCCTCCGAGTCACAGGAGCTCTGCAGATAAACTGTGCACAGATCGGATGGCAGAAGAGGAACACAAGTTTTGAACAGCTTACGCACATTTCTGAAAACTCCCTTGCGAGGTATACTGGTAGTTGAATGAACGAAAGAGCACTGATCAGACTCCTCTAGCTTAAACCACTGCTTGCCCCAGGGAGTAGGCAAGTGGCCATATAAAGCTTATATCATGGGTGTGTGTGTGTGGGTGTGTGTGTGGGAGCGCACAGGCGCACGCGTGCGTGTGTATGCAGTCTGACGCCGTGAGAGCCCCGTCTTATTTCCTGTTCTCTCTACCCTGTTCAGAAAAGGAAGAGCTCACAGGCACAGAAACGTTGTGCAGTCCCCCACAGCCTTCTCGCCGAGCTGTAGAGCATGTTGGGGACTCTCACTTGGGTCGTGCATAACCCCGGACACACCTTACACTGACGGCTCCAGCCCCGAACCATACAGCAGGTGCTTCTTGATTATTAAAGGAAAACAAAATACTCTCAACACATTATAGGATTATAAAGACAGAATATAAATAATGCATGGACATTGAATATATACTTTTTCATTTAACTTGTTTTTAGCCAAAAATCGCTGCCCTGCTGGGGTCTGGATTTCTGGCTCTGTCTCTCACCCGCAGCCCTGGGTGTGAATGGAATCCTATTGTTTTTGCCCTCCACCAAGGATAAACAGGAATTCGGAACAGCCTCATCCCTTCTCCCTCCCCCCAGGTTTCAGGCTACGGTGAAAGGCAGTTTTGCTTGCAGTAAAATGGGTAACACCGTTAGTGTCCAGGGGTCTGCGAGGAGGGATGCAATGCCCAGGGAAGGGGCGGTGGCAGAGGGAAGGGGACATGGGTTCACAGTTTGACCGCCGCTTTTATCTGTAGGACAGTGAAGGAGCCCTCATCAGGAAACAAAGAGAACTCTGGAGCTAAAGTCAGAGGGAGGAAGGAAGATCCAACACCCTAACCCAGGGACACATCCTGCCCTGTGGAAACCAAAGATCCGACCACGCGTCCACGAGAGGCCAAGAAGGCCCCACCGTGAAACCCTATGGAAATAACCAAGGCGAGAACCAAAACCCGAACCCAACCCAAAGCCCCCGAACCCCCAAAGGAAACCAGAAACAAAACATACTACCTAAAGGCGATGACAGAGACCCGTCATGTTAGCTTATGCCATTGGCTGACTGGTGGGGGACCCGCGCGGCCCCGGCACACGCTTCTGTTTGTGGAAATGAGTCGCCATGTGGACTGCAGCTGCCAAGGGTAATCAAGAGTCAGTGTCTGACATTATTCTCTTCTGAAAGCTCCCAGTGGCTTCCGGTGGATGTGTCACCTTGGTTTTTAAAAATTTTCAGTGTGAGTTTTTATATATATATATATATAATAATAATAATATAATATAATATATATTTATATAATATATCAAAGCTTATGAGTATAGATTAAAAAAATATTCAACAGCTTAGCGAACTCTGCAGTGCGGGTTTCCTACATGTCCGGGTAGAACATGGCCCTGTGGTCCACGGTCTGCAGCATGGGCTTCTGTTCCAGGGCTGACATCCTGCTGAGGACCTCAGCCGACAAAGTATAACTGTTACCAGACTTCTCCTCAAACCAGCTGTCCAGGGCTCTCTTGGCATCAAAGTTGGCGATCGGGGGTCCATTGACGGCGATTGTCAACAGGTCGCTGAGCTGCTCCAGGGTGAGACGGGAGCGGTGGTTTTTGCGGACCCGCTGGAGGGCCATACGGCCTTTCTCGCAGCAGGCGGTGGAAGTGGGGAGGACTTTGAGGACCTGGATGACCTTGTTCAAGAGCGGAAACCTCTGCTTGTATTTGCAAATGTGGCCGATCAGGTCTTTAAAGCCATTTTTGGTGTAGTAATCGGCCTTGAGCTCCCGCCACTCCATCAGCAGGCTTCCCCGGGGGTCTAGGCCTTCCCGGCACACCTCCCGGGAGAAGGTAGGGATGGCTTCCAGGTGGTCAAATATCTGCACCATGTCCTCCTTGCCGTAGCTCACCAGCTCCTCGCTGCTCCTGGGCCAGGTGGCCAGGTCAAACACCTGGCAGGCCTTCACGAAGATCCGGCTCCGGGAGTCAAACCTCTGCGCCAGGATGACCTGGGTCTTCTGGCAGATCTTCTCCCTGATGGACTGGAACTTGGCTTCTGCCACCCTGAGGTTCTTCATGGCGATTCCATTGAAGCTCTCCCGGAAGTTCTCCTCGAATTCCTGCAGGTACTCACCCGGGGAATCGGCCAGCCGGCTGATCTCCTGGATGGCCTCCTCGATCTTGTCGTCCACCTGGGACACTAGAAGATACTCGCCCTGGAAAATGTAGGCCAGGCGTGACAGCACAGCGATCACGTCCAGCAGGAAGTAGATCAGCTTGATGGACTGGTAGTCCAGGAGAAACTGCAGCAGGGCCAGGGCGATGGCCGAGGCGTCCGCCCGCTGCGTCTGGCTGCTGACGTCCTTGAGGTGGGCCACTACTTCCAGGTAGTCCTTGATGAGAGCGTTGAGGACGTTCTGCTCGCCGATGATCCACCTCACAGCGCGGATGTCGCCCAGGAACTCGGTCTCCTCGCAGAGCGTGGAGGCGGTGGTGCGGAGCTCGCACATGAGACGTGGCGAGTATCGGTAGAAGCTAAGCAGCTGCTTCAGGTTGTTCTCCAGCTCCTCCAAGCAGGGAAGCTCCTTCCCACTGATGGCATCTAGGATCTCCAGGTGGGGCCGGTGCACCATGAAGGGCAGGCACAGCAGCCAGGGCAGCGTCTTGCGGATGGTCATGAACATGCTGGCACGCAGGCTGGCCGTGATGTTGGCCCCATCCACACCCAAGCCGACAGTTGGCTTCTCATCCTGTAACCGGATGCCCAAGCCTGAAAAGGCTCGGTCCAGCGCCTGGAGATAGCTTTCCGTGCTGGAGAAACCGAGTTCCTGCAGGGACAGGAACTCGGTAGCCGGAGGCCCATCGCTGCTGGTGTACTGGACATAGACAGCCACTGTGTCAGCCAACAGGTCGTCACTCTGGCCATCCAGGATGATACTGAGATAAGGCGACTGTCGGATACGCTCCACCAGGTCCTCCCGCAGCGCGCGGGCGATGTGATGGATGAGGATCTGGCAGTCCCCCTCGTTCATGTACTGGTCCACCACCTTGAGCTCGCACTTGCGCAGCAGCTCGGCCAGCGGCCGGAAGTCCAGGTAGGGCCTGCCCTCGAGGGCCAGGTGGTAGGCGGTGTTGAAGAGCAGGGTCATGTTCCGGCACATCTCCTCCGTCTTCTCGGGGTGCATGCGCAGCTTGTAGAGCTGCAGGCACTTCTTGTGCAGGTTGCTTTGGCTGTGCAGTTTGATGGTGTGGATTTTAAACTGCTTGGAGCCGATGATGAAGGCCGAGGTACGTGATGACTGCACCGTGTACTGGCGGCAGACGTGGCACCACATTTCGTTGAGGGTGGGTGAGTACCGAAGGAACCAGAACTTCTTCAGCCATTCCTGCTTGAAGCGCCGGATCCGTCGTCCGGTGGCTGAGGACATCTTGGAGGGCTCGTCAGTCGAGGTCATGATATCGTTGGAAACAGACTCATCTGCTGAATCCACCTCCTGGTCATCATCTTCCATGATAGCGGGGCCGGACACCATGCTCTCCGAGGCTACAAAACAAACAGGAAAGAAACATTGATACCAGGCAAGGAAAACAGATTTTCCCGAAATGAACAGCAAATGCTGCCCGGGAGGATGTCGCACTGTAAAAACCCAAGTTCTGTACGGCCTGTGATGGATGGAATCCTAGCCTAGAATTTATTTCTAAGCAGTCTTGCTCTCCATGAATGACTCTTCCTCTTTGTGGATTATCCGTGGTGGCCCGCAGACCCCTCATCCCGACCCCACACTCCAGGCTGCCTGCCCTCACCTGCCACTTGTGGGTGCTGGAGGGACTCAGTGACCCCTATCGACCAGACAGCATGAACTGGGAGAGAAGGTCTGGTGCAGGGGAGAAGGCACACCCACCACACATCTCTAGCCATGCCTGGAAGCCTGGGACTCCTACGCTCCCCACTGATTTGGTTACGGGGGAGGCAGGCTGGACTGAAGGCAGCCCAGAGGGGCCTCCGAGGGACTTCAGGGCCAAAATGTAGCTTCCTTCAGATGCATGCTTTGAAGATCTGCACCCCCTCCCATCCTGAACTAAGGGGTGTGCCCTACACCCCTTGGGCGCCACGTTGGGGGACTAGGATCGCCTGGGGCAGAACAGATTCTGGAAGAGAGGAAGGAGGCTGTGTTCCTTGACTCAGGGGAGTCATGAGAACCTCCCAGAAGGACACCCTCCTTGGGCCTGGGGATACAGGGCACGGGCTTTGGAAAAAGGCACCAGCCAGACCACCAGAGAAAGGCAACGGGTCAAGAACACAGCACACACCCCTCCTGCAGCGGAACTTCCTTTATTGACAAGGAGGATACAAGGGCGACACGCAAAGCATCCACCAGGGCTGCAAGCAGGCCTACCCCTGGCACTGGGGGACGCTGGCTCCCACCGGCTCCCACCCACGGAGGTGGCCAGTTGCGCACCGCGCTCCTCAGGCCTGCCGGCAGGTGGCGCCAACACGGAGCTGTAGGCCACCCTCCATACAGACCGCTGCGCTCTCGTCCCTCTACAAAACTCTCATCCAGACCAACTTACCTGCGGGGTCCGAGAACTCTGGGAGTTCCAGTACCTGTGGTGGCAAAACGGGGGGCTCAGGAAGCTTCCCAGACTTAAGCATGTCTAGTTCTGCCTGGAGTTCTCGGACCTTCTTCTTTAGGCGAATACAGTTAGGGCAAAAGGAGGTGGTGGGGAGCTCATGAGGGTCGGAAGCCAGCGAGGCCTCGGCGGGGCTGTCGGCCTTGAAGGGTGCCGGCTCCTCATCCTCATCCTCCAAGGGGCCCGGCTCCTTGGCAAGCCCTTGGGGGGTCTTCCAGTCCCCTTCCCCCTGGGTCCGGCTGACGGTCTGCACACCGTGGGTCATGGTGGCTGCACACCGGCCGTAGGTGTCGTCCTGGTACTTGGGGACTTTCCGGATGACCAGCGAGGTGCTCAGGGCCAGCTGGTGGGCTTCCACCTTCGCCGATTCCAGGGAGGCCTCCAGCACATCCTTGAAAATGAGGTCGATTTTCTTCTTCTTGGTCTGGGGATGCACATCCCCCTCGTCAAAGCCACGCTTGTAGGGACTTTTGCCCTGTCTCAACACGGGAAGATGAATGGGACCCCTCAGGTCTTCTGGGTTATCCAGAGCCTGCTCAGACTTCTCCCTCGGCAGCCTCTTCTCGCCTAGGAAGGAAAACCAGGGTGTAAGGACATGGGGAAAAGCCCCCAAAGGAGACACCGACAGAAAACAGAGCTCTGGCCTTCTGGGATGGGTGTGAAAAATATGGAGAGGTAGACCAGATGGAGGATTGGGGGAGCTAGTCATAGGACCCGGAGGGCAGAAAGAGTTCTTAGGAAAGGACAGATCAGAAGAAGCCTGCTCCCTGGAAACTGCACTTACAAGTTGAGCAAAGTCTACAGGGGAGGGCGACTGCACATTCTTTCAAGGATTGTGCCACCTACGTGCCATCCTAGAAGCCAATATTCTATCCAGACAGGGTAGATGGCAACATCCCAAGGAAATCAGTGATTCAAAGCAGATCAAATAACGGACAAATGTAGTGGATTCCACACCTCGGAGGAGGCTGCCCCTCCAGCCTCAGCGATGAGAAGATGCTGCTTGGTCTTGGTAAAAGGTACACGGGGAACATCAGCAGCCCCACTCCACCTGGCTGCTCGGAGACAGCCCGCTTAGGGAAGAGTCCAATTCTCCTGGCAATCGGAAGCCTGGGAATACGTGAGAATATGTGATCGGGAATCCTGCGGCTCACAGTGATGATGGATGCTGGAGACAGAGGAGAGGCAGAGACACAACCGCAGCTAAAGGAAAGCCTCCAAAGAGACAAAAGACACCGTGGCCACAACGACTCCAAACATCCCTGCAGTGCCCAAAGATCCCTGTATTGCTTTTCCTGACAAAGGGGTCTTTTTCTATATTTCTCTATCATGTGAATTCTTTTTTTTTTTTTTTTTAGACAGAGTTTCACTAAGTTGCCCAGGCTGACCTTGAACATGTGGTCCCTCTGCCTCAGCCTCCCAAGGAGCTGGGATTACAGGTGTGCCCTGCTGTGTCTGGCTCAGTTGGCTTTTCATTACTGTGAATTAATCCACAAGCCCCAGTGGGCTCCCCAGTAATACATGTGTTTAGCTGGCTCTTATAAACAGGGCGGTGTAGCATAGACTGCTGCACAGGGTTCATACACACAGAGGGAGGGATGCTAAGGAAGCAGGGCTGGGTCCGCAGCCTGTAGATTCTGACAGCCATCTGCGGGGGCTGGGAGATCTGAACGGTCTCCTAGAGCAGGTGTCTTGAGTGATGTGACCTGACCTGAATGTGTATTGTGGCTGGGCTTCAGCTCCCTGGATCTGCTGACAGCCCTGAGTAAGGGCTAAGAGACCCCACGAGCACTTCAGATGCCCAGGGTTGACTGCCCACAGCTGGCATGGGGTGCCAGGTGCTGCTCCAGGTCCAACTCCAGGTTTCCAGCAGGTAACAGTCTAACCTGTTCATAAGATTCCGGTTCCATAAGATGCCCCTTTTCTGTCCTCACCTGAACTTAAGGAACAATTTCCTTCCACAGGCTTTAGGACTGCGGTGGCCCAGCCTGTATTTTTGTAGCAACTGAGCTACAGAACAGAGAGAGATGAAGGAAATCTATAAAAAATGCAACATATTTGTCATACAGATCAGGTAAGCTGCTTGCTCATTTCCAAATCTCTGAAAATCAACAGTTACTCTTCCACATTCTCCTGGCCAGTCAGGCAGCAAAGAGCCAAGGATGTTTGGAGCTCCAGGGTGTGAGACCGGGGACTCCTCAGCTCTCTTCTCAAGGACCAAGTCATCCACACCACATGAACAGGAGACCTTTTCACACTTAAGGCTTCCATGAAAAATGTCCGAGAGGACAAATAACTTTTCAGCTCTATGAATTTGATTGCAAAGCCTCTATGAACTATAGGGGGCGGGGGAACAATGCAAAACAAAAACCTCCAAGGAAATCAATGACTCAAAATAGATCAAATAACGCGAGAATACTGAATACAAGCAGGAGATGCACCTTATTCTTTAAAGACAACCACAGCGCAATGATTTATACCCGCTTTCAGGAAGTAATGCCGGGCTCCAAACCACATTGCTCCTTAATAAGGATTAATAACCTGTTCAGGCCCCAGCTTCCAATTACAAAGACACCCCCTTAAGTGACTGAGCACAGAGGTTAGCATGCCATCTACGATGCCACCCAAAGTACCCAGAATCTGCTAAAGCTCAGGCTACAAGAAACACACGGAAAAGCCACACGGCTCCATGACTGTCTTGTGGTGGCTTTCAATTTCCTGCCTGCTTCCTACTGCTCAGCCTGGCCAGGGACACACACTGCTTCCACCCGCGTCTTCACACATCTCCGAACACACCCTCCCTGTGTGTTTACATGTCTCCTTTGAGCCACCACTCCTGGAAAGCCACTCCTTCTCAAAGTGGTCCCCCGGGCCCCAGGGCTCTCTGAGCATGACGCAGCTTGAGGGGTTCAAAAGAAGACACTAAGGGGAACAAAGGATCATGAGGGTCCAGAGGGATTCAAGAAGATTACGGCCAAGGGCTGGAACCTGCGTCCTTGGGTACGACTTCTGCTGGTTTTCTTTTCTTCCGATGGTTCGGTTCTTTTGGAAACTTATCAGCTGTCTTCATCCACTTCTCTCTTTTATCCACACAATAAGGATTTTCCGTGCACCTACCATGTCTCAGACATTTTTAGAGGCATCTCTACAGGTCAAATGGGAACAACAGCTTCATCATGGAAGCACAGCTTCCCAAGGGAGACCAGCATGTGCCCCACCTCCACACCCAAAGAAGACAAGAGATGCTCTCTGCCTACTGCGTCTCCCACCGGTCACCAGATACCTTTTACCAAGCCAGGCAGCAGCTGCACACTCAACAGCTTACTTTGTTGTGGTTTGTCCTTCAAAATAGTTTGATTTCAATGAGTCACCACCACTCATTTCTCTTCTTCTCCGCTCATTTTCCAAATGAAGACTCACTGGCATGAAGTAGGTTGGTTGGGAACACAGCATTTTGGGACTTGGGCATAGGCTGGGTTCTGGGAGCAGGTAGACTCTGGGCATTTGCATATGTGGCCTTTGTGCAAAGAGAGCTCCCTTGAACAGAAGGATGTGGACTTGGTTACTTGGCCAGGCTGAGGATGGAGTGAAGAGATAGGGGCTTGGAGCTGGGGTGTATTTTCAACCACTTGCAAAGGACTCATTCAAATGGAACCTGGATGGAAGCCCAACCCACACCTCCTGTCATCTTTCACCCCCTCCCAGACCCCTCCAAAAGGGACTGTACTTTCACATCATACTATTAGGACCACCAGTGAGGCCAGGAGGAAGCAGGGAACAGACTGGTTTTGTCTGGAAGGTCATGGCAAGATAGAATTTAAATCCAAGTTAGAAACCTAGCCCCATCTTCCTAGCCCTAACCCTGGGTAAGTCACTGTATTTATTAATTCTCAGCTTACCCATCTGTGAAATGGGGCTAATAAACTACATGGGCTCATGAGTATTAACAATTTACAACCGGGGACTTCCAGTGGTCAAGGCAGGCATTGCTGTAGATGTGGAACGTCTTGTGGAACTTGCCTCCGCTGAATCCCCCAAGCACACCTACAGGCAGATACTGTATGTGACTGTCATACAGGAGCACTGAGAAACCCCGATCCGAACACAGGAAGTAAATGTCGTTGAAGGGTGCTAGGATTATCGAGGCAGCCGCAGTTTGTAATGTGTGTTCGTCAATCAGAACTGAGGGTCAGGATCGGTGTTGATTCAACTTATTCGAGTGGTTGTGGAGGCTCGTCTCTCTTCCCAGCACTCCGAAGGCGCGAGGTAGGACTGTCTCACGGGAAGAATACCCAGAGTTGGTCACTGCTGGTCACTGCCTGGCCGTAGCTATTCAGGTGTGGCTCATATGTTCCCTGAATCACCCTATGTCTAACCCTATGTCCTGAGCAATGGTATTTCCCCTTGGCTTCCCTTAGGAAGCTCCCAGAGGAGGGATCCTGGCCAACCTAGGAGTGGGCGTGGCCTCCATGGCGTTTGTGGGTGTAGTATTCCTGGTGGGCGTGGCCTCACTAGAGAGGTGGAACTTCTGGAGTGGGCGTGGCCCTGGCAGAGGTGGCCTATGGTGGAGTGTGACCTCTCTGGGTGGGCGTGGCATCGTTGTGGGCGTGGTCTCCAGGCGCTTGCGCACTCACCTCTAGCCAGATTGCGGTGGATGGTTTCCTGGGACATGCTATGCAGGCGCTTCATGTAGTCCTCGCTGTACCAGACCCGCAGCCTCTCCCCGGGCCGGATGTCCCTGCAGGCTCGGAAGTAGATGCGCTCGCTGTGCTGGAAGGCCAGTAGGTTCTGCTCCCTCTCCTCCCGGGAGATGACCACGTACCTGAGGGCGAGGGGACAGGTGAGAACCATGGGCCACCCCTTGTGGAAGGCTTGCCAGGGCTGGGCACAGGTTGGGGTGATTCTGGTTCCATAATATCGCGGAAGAAGTTGACAGAGCACCTGCTCAGCGCAGGAAGGAGCACCAAGTAGGGGCCAGCCTTGTCCCAAAGCTCTCTATGACCCCAGTGCTCCAAGAGTCTCTTCCGTGAGGCTGGAAATGACACCTGCCCTGCCTCCCTCAAACGTTACTTCAAATATAAGATTCAACACCCGATGTAAAGGCAACTGGAAAACAATAGCTCATCTCTTACTGACTTCTAGTTACCGTGGTCCCTAGATTTCTAAAGCCTGTAAAGTAAGTAAGGGTGTGGTCACTGGGCTGTTTTCAGTATTTCAGAGCCCAGCAGAAATAACCCACAGGACCAAAAGGTCATTTAATACGTGCTAAAGATGAAAAGTTTTTACAGAGGGACCATGGAGACGGAAGAGGAAGTTAATAAGAGACAGTGAAAGGTAATGTGACTCAATGATTTAAACCAAACGAGGCTCAGAGAGGCAGCTTGTCCAAGGTCACGCTGCTAACCAAAGGGACACGCAGCCGTGTGGCTGTGCTTTCCCACTGTAATTTATGGCTCCGTTGTGGGCACGTAAAGTATCAACTCAGCAACGCCAAGAAACCTTTAAAGTTCTGCCAAACTCCGAATCTATGGCCCCCGAACCTGACATTACCACCAGCCAACCTTCCACCTCCTCCATCTCCAGGAGATGTGAGGATGCTGAGAAGTGGGGGGGTGCACGCATCGAAGGGCAGAAGGAAACTGTTCCTTAGGATCTGCGTGACATAAGCATCTAGGAAATTAGTTGCCAAAAATAAACTTTTCCTTACGCTATGATTTTATTCAAAAGCCTGAAAAAAAAATCGAAGTCTGTTTGGCTTAGCCCAAAGAATTAGATTTGAAATAGTCCAGGAGAAATAATAATTCATGGAAAGAATTCAAGTGCATAATGAATAAATGAAAAGTATTCAGCACCACTAATAGGAAAAGAAACATAAAGAAGCATATTGTATCGCTGGCACAGAATTTTTAACATGAATAGTAATAAAGGTGCCACAAAAGGCATTTCCCGTGGCCATGTTACAGAATAACCTGCCACAGCCTTCTGGGAAATAAACCAGCAGTGTGCACCCGGAATAGAAAGATACGGAACAAGTCCGAAGCCCTGCACACCAGCACACTGGCGGCTTTGTTATTTATAATAGTGCAAAAGCCAAAACATCTTCATGTCGAATGCCAGATGTCTGCTTTAGTAAATGAGGGTACATTCGCCTGATGGAATTTCATCTATAGGAAAATTATTTTCAAAAAATCTTTCACGGCATAGCAAAAATACCACCGGTAATCATGCAGAAGGAGGATAATAGGAATGAAAGCTGTTTACCATCCTGGTTCCAATCATGTTTGAGAAACGAGCCTCAGTAAACTGCTTGAAGGAAATACACCAGTGTTTTAACGATGATTATCCATTACTGGGTGAATCATCTTCCTGATTTTCTGTGCTTTTCAGGTTTCTTCAATGAGCAATTTTTCCTATTCTTCTCTCCCCCACACAGAAAAGAAATACACGGATGCCAGTAATAGTGTGCAGTGGCACTGGTGGCAGCCACCATGACCAAAGGCACTGGAAATCTACCCTGGAGATGCCCCAGTCACCCCTCCTCGCATCCTGCCCTTATCTGAAGAGGCCTTTGCAGATTTCCTGGCTGGGCCTTGAGGAGGGTATACCTTTACAGAGCAGTCCAGGGGACAGACCCCAGAGAAGGCAAGGACAAGGTGGACAGGACGACAGGCTCCAACATTAGCTGCTTTACCGCCTAGAGAGAAGCAAGTCACAGACCCAACTCTGGGAGAAAAATGGATGGTGCTCAGATCCCCAGAACGTGTGTCTGGTCCAGGCGCTTAGCCTCCGTACATTGGGGTTCTCCTCGGTTGGTATCTGCCAGGAACATTGGTCTCCCCACGCTTGTGGGGAATGATCTGGTGATTCCCATGCACCCAGCCAGAATGCCATTAGCCATGAATAAAAGGGAAGGGAAGGAGAAGCCCAGTCCCACAGAAGCCATTCCAGTGACAGCCACTTCCCTAACCCTCCAGCTGTGCACTCAGCTTCTCTGGTTCCCCTTGTAGTGAGAAACTGGGAGTGAACATCCAAAGATGCTCAACCTAGTGGTTAGCACAAGAGGACATCACTCCTGACACCCCCAGATACAAACAGAAAGCAAACCCTCCAACCCCCTTTGTCCTGGAGAAGAGCTCCGTACTCACAGAGCAGCGTGGGGATGGGGGTGAACACCCTTCCTGCCACCCCTTTCCTAGGTTTCTAAACAGGTGCCAGCTAAGAAAAGCTGACCTCTTTCCCCATCACTCAGTGTTAACAGGAAAGATAGCTGAGAAGCATGTTTCTAACAAAGATTTATTTCTTCAAGAGACCATCATTTAGAGTGTCAAAAGGTTTGGAAAGACTGAAGCTAATTTCCCCTGCCATTCCCTGGTGTTTTCTACCCACCGAAAACCACTGTTTAGATAGAGCACTCCAAATCTTTGAATCGATCACAGTGTATTTTCAAAGGCAGATCAAAGAAACCTGGAATTTGAAATAAGACAACCAGTGAATCACAACAGACCTTTCCCTTGACAGGCTGTTGACGCGGTGTCATTTTTGAGTAAAGCTAAATCAGCCAAGCCCCAACACCAGTCACTTCTAATTGGGCATCCCGCTTTAAGTATCCTTTGGTAACCAACATCTAATGGCCTGCTGGTTCTCAGAATCTTCTTGTCCCTGTCATCACAAGTCCTTTATGAAGAGTCAGCCCTGTCCCATCTTGTGACCACAGAGAGCCAGAGCCCCCGCTGCCCCTGCCCCTCCAAGGAGTAAAAAGCCTTGCTGCTCCTCATGGCTGAGCAGCTAGCTGTTTGCAAGGAGATCTGAGTCACCACACTGAGACAGAAGGCACAAGAAACGTGTGGAAAATGCTTGGCTGGGACTGTCTCAGAATCGGCCTAAATCCCAACCTCAGACAATCAAGGTGCTGGGTGACAGTGGCAGTAGGCGTGGGGATCCTGGGCTGAACTTTTCATGAGGATAAGGCACTGTTTAAATTCCAGCCTCCTAGCCAACCTGGGTTACCAGATAGCGGGCATGAAGACAGTTCTCAGACCTCACTCACTGGGTCTTATCAAGCAGATCAGATTTTCGGGCTGGGTCAGGAAATGAGTATGGTTCCAACTCTTGAGAATGAAAAAAGTCCACAAGGCATCCCCTTGGTTGCAAGTGAGGCCCAAGGCCAGGTCCACCCCTCCTGCTTTCCAAAGGACAGGAAGTCATCCAAGCCGGAGAGGCAGAAATGGGAAAGAAGAAAGGGTCTGGGCTCCAGGTTCCATGTGCTTAGGTCTGGGCTGAGCAGGATTTGGGGTCCCGTACCTCCCCACCAAGCGATCCCCTGGCCTGAGGCCACCCAGGCAGCCTCTCCATGGCTGGAGTCCCCCTGCAAGGCTTCCTACCACTCCCCCTTCCCCTCTGGTTTTGCCACACACTCCTCACAATTCCACTGACGCCAAGACACATCCGGAAATCTTTCCCATCCCAAACCACGAGACTCTACACCCCTGTGCCTTTGGCTGTGACCTCTGTTCAGGGTTACAGCATCTTCCACCTTGGGCCCTCCCTTCCCAGCCAGTCACATTGACCCTGGGGGTTAGGGAGACCCCAGGCCTGGTTTTATGGCATCTCTGCATCTCTCAGGACATGGGCAGCCTGGGTCTTGCTGGCCATGCTGTTGAGGGTAGGATGCAGCGGATGGTCCGGACTGAAAAGCCAAAGGTAGATGAAAACCATCCTGAAAGGGGTTCTTGATCAAGACGGAGGCCTCCGGCCTGGGGCAGGCGCTCTGTGAGACAGGCAGAAAGCCCAGGTGTTCCCATCACCTGGACAAGCCTCAGCTATGGTGAGTGGGACCTTGTCTGGGACGCAAGGACCTCAGGATTCCTGTCCAAAAAAGGTTCCTGTCTCAGGGTGGTCCCTCAAGCGCTCTGGGAATGGACAGCCCTGACTGTCTGACGTCCTCTGCCAGAAAAGATGCTCATGGCCCTGGGAATTTTAACTGAATTTTACAGAACCAGAAGGTAAAATTAACTTAGCTTTAACACACCGCTGATGTGAGAAAAGGAAACACACTGAACCGGGGTGGGGTGGGATGTAGGCCCTGTGGCTTCAGGGACCAGGGAAATGCAGGGGGCCACTGGGGCCCCCTTCCCTGCCATGCTTTTCCTGAATCTGTTCAACCCTGCTGTGGGGTCTGTGAGGTTTCCATAGGAAGCGGAGAAAGAGGATATACACCAAAAAAAAAAAAAAGATCCTGGAGCCTGGGTATGTTCAAGGTGTGAGATCAATTTCTTTTTATTGCCATCTTAACAAAAAGATTCCGGAAGGCAATCTTCGACTTCCCCATAGGGAAGCTGGGCAGTAATCAAGCCACAGGGCTGCTGGACAGGTCAGTGTTCAGTCTGGGGGCAGGAACCCCCAAAGGACCACAGAATGGGGAGATGAACTTGAGGGCAGAGGGACATGGCAGGTGCCCTCTATTCTCTCTGGGTGGGACAAAGCTTGGCCTGGGTGATAAGCAGCCCCAAGAACCACCTCAGCAGGTACCAAGCACAGCAAGCCTCCTGCCCCTGCCGGGGCTCTAGGGTGCAGGATGAGAGGGGGCAGGCAGGGGGCGCAGGAAAGATCTGTGGGGTTCGGGCTCAGGCCACGGAGCAAAGAAGACACAGAGCGGAGCTGTGCTAGGGTGACAGGTTAAGCTTGCACCTGCCACCTGCTACTTCCCTTCCTGACTGCAAGATACCCGCTCCCTCCCCACACCCCATAATGAAACACGAAGCTGGAGATGTATGTGGACAGTGCAGGGGCAGCCCAAGCAAGCAGAGGCAAGGCATGCTGGGA